AGGCTTTGTTGGAGAGCAGAATATGAGCTCAGCCGCGTAATAAGTTCTTTCTATGGCCTTGAGCATTGGAGTGGATTCAACTGACGAGCACTCCAGAAATGTTATGGATTCATTAAATTTTGCATTAATTATTATTTTCAAATTCACACCTGGGAATTTTTGCTTTAAACTAAATAATCAAAAACAATTTCCAGAAGTTTGGTTAATATAGCGTGAGAATGTATGCTTCTTGTAAGGTTTTTTCAAAACATATTTTTATTTCTTCCCGCAAAGACCATCCACATTATCCTTAAATAAGCTAATATAAAGTAAACTATTACTTAGACAAAGAAAACGCAATTTGCCAACTAATCGGTCTAGCTAGGAGCATCATGTCGTCCAACAGAATTAATTAGGATTACAAAAGGCCGGGCGGTATACCAAAATGCTAAGTTTGTTCAAATGTCCGAAAAATTTTACGATTATATGTTTGAGTTGACCCAATTGTAAAAAAAACTCGAGGCGTTCGGCGGGATTTAACCCACATATAAGAGAAGGCCTTTACCGGAAGCCAACACTCTAACCACTTGAGCTACAAACGCCCCACCTCGCGCCATGAAGTTAATCACACTTGGGTCAATTTTACCCACCCAAATTTACGCTCCTATGGAATTCACCAATACGGTTAAATCTACCCTTGTGGGATTAAATTCATGGCGCTATGGTGGGCGTTTGTAGCTAAAATGCTTAGAGCGTTGACTTCCGGTAAAGGCCTTCTCTACTACTCGGGTTTAAATCCCGCCGAACGCCTCAAATTTCTTCACAATTCAGTCAAATCATATTAAGCAAATCTGCCAAAACCTCCTAATAATTTTAAGATTATGTTTACTTTGTGTTTTCTGTGCACTCTGCGGCACTTTCAGTCCACCTGTCGATACGAGGAAGCATCTTGTGGCGTGGGAGGCTCTTACTAGTCACCTCAGGGAAGCTATAATATTGCATAGGCCGTGGGCGGTACGGGGGATGAGAGGCGCCCACTGTTCTCCACACTTTTGAAACACATGCTGCGTTGGAGACATGTGACCACCCCCGCACACAAGAGAATGTTAATCAGGCGTCACATAAAACGGTGCCCTTCTATGTGAACGCCACTGCGTTGTGCTTTAATACTGCAATCTAGCTTGGTTGCTTTACTCTTCTCTGTACAGTGACTTTATGACGCTTCGTCAGAGCGCGAAAAGGATGCAATGACGTCATTGAAGCACGCGGACGTATACATTGCTTTACTCTTATCCAGCTCACTTTATTGACAAGTATAGCTACCCTTACGGCAAAAGATTGTAGAACAATCAGCTCCAAAAAAGCCTGTTGTCATTTCCTTGCCCTTGAAGGGAGACAACACCTTAAACACCATCATGAGACGTTTACGCAAAGACATACTTTGCAGCTGAGCTTGTTTTTTGCAACTCGGTGAAGACCCTTCCGATTCCAACTGCGAAGGATGCCTTGCCGTTGTACGCCACTTCTAATTGTTTACCAATTTACATGCACTTGCGGATGCAAGTACATAGGACGAACACACCGTTTGCCGTTGTACGCCACTTCTAATGTTGTTTACCAATTTACATGCACTTGCGAGCCGTTGTATGCCACTTCTAATGTTGTTTACCAATTTACATGCACTTGCGGATGCAAGTACATAGGGCGAACACAACGGGCAATTTGCAGCCAGAGCAAAAGAACACTTGCCGAGTTGGCTATTAAGATAGGAGAATAGGACTCCCCGTTCTTCTATCAATGAACACGTATTGGATAAGGGTCACTCTGTAGACTCCAAAACAGCCTTCCGAGTACTTGTTCGGGCACGAACAACTCGTACATTGCG